TGAGACGGGTCAACATCATGTAGCCTTTAACACAAGGCCCTGAAAAAGAACACCACCTCACTTCTATGATACAACCTGAATACAATGATGAGGAAACACCAGACAATTCCAAACTGAAAGACATTCCATAAAACAGCCAGTAATCTTCAAGAGTGTCAGGTCATGAGCAGTGAAACATTTGGAGAAATCTAAATAACACTTAGAGCTTAGGACAGTACTTATGGCATTTGCAGGTAAATGGATGGAGAATATTATGTTAAGTGAAGTAAGCCAATCCCAAAAAACTAAAGGCCGAACGTTTTTCTCTGATTAGTGGATGCTGATCTATGATGAGGGATGGTATGGAAAGAATGGAGGAACCTTGGATTGGGCAAAGGGGAGAGAGTGGGGAGGAGTTATGAGGATAGGAAAGATGGTGGAATGAGATGGACATTATTACCCTAGGTACATGTATGAAGACATAAATGGTGCATCTCTATACCATTTACAATCGGAGAACTGAAACGTTACACTCCATTGGTATACGATGAATTGAAATGCATTCTGCTGTCACGTACAACTAAGTAGAACAAATAAAAATGATCATGATAAAATTGGTGTAAACAATATAAGAAGGGGGATAGTAGAGGATAGGAAAGGCAGCAGAATACAACAGACACTAGTATGGCAATATGTAAATCAATGGATGTGTAACTGATGTGATTCTGCAATTTGTATACGGGGTAAAAATGGGAGTTCATAACCCACTTGAATCAAAGTGTGAAATATGATATATCAAGAACTATGTAATGTTTTGAACAACCAACAATAAAAAATTTAAAAAAAAAAAAAAAGAAGTGTAGAATTTAAAGCTGAACAAACAATTTAGTGGAAGTCAATGTAAAGAATTAGAGCAAAGGACATTTTAAAAGGCTTTTGTACCAAAGTAATGACTACAATAAAAATTCAAACTTTTGGAAATAATGAATCTGACAAAATTACACTATGTACGTACATAAATATACCACAGTGTATTCCACCTTTATGCATATCTATAAAGCACTAATAAATAAACAAGTGAAAAAAATTCAAATTTCTCTAAATTCCCAAAGAAATATAAAACACAAAAGAGTAGACAATGGACTACAATGAAATATAAGATAATGCATTAAGAAAATGTAACATAAAATCCTGTGACAGAGTTGAGAACAGACCAAATAAATCAATCTGAAAAATAAAAAAAAAACAATATAAGAAATATTCTATATATAATAAAAACAACAAAAAATGAGATTTACAAAATATTAGAATATAAAAATTATAATTAAACTCTAAGGAAAAATAAACACAGGAATGATACAATCTTAAAATCTGAATAGCACACTTGGATCCTACCAAGGAGCCTTAAGATAGATAGAATGCATTCCTGTCAATCCCTTCTCAAGTTCAGAATGGGTCAGCGACTTTCAAATAATGCAACAGTGTATTGCTTAACACTCTGTATGTTCTATAAATGTCTCATCACATGCCAAAGGGATCAATAAGGGTGAAATTACCAACAAGGAATAAGGCAACTAATTACTTTTCTCTCTTCTTCTCCCAGAGGGGCATCTTATGGTTTCTCCCTTTCAAGCGAAAAAGAATACAAAGAACTAGGGGTCATGTGAGGAAAAGATGATAGTAACTCTTTTTCTATGTGCATCTCCAGTTTTTCATTCTTGATTTTTCTCCTCAAATATTAAAATGGACCAGAGAGAATTCATGCCTTTATATAAATTCCTAATTTATCTCAAAGCAAAAGGAGAGCAAAACTAAAAGCAAGCAGGAGGAAAGAATTAATATTATAATAGAAATTAATGAATCATAAAATAGAGAAATGCCAGAGTCTCAAAGAGTCTTTCTACTCACCTGCCTGCCTGGGTAAAGCTGCCTATTTATCCTAGATTAATTTCAAATGGGAGACTCAGGATGGTTTTTCAAAAGAGGATAAACTGGGAGTTGAAGGATGAAAAAGAAAGGGAATACAGCAGTAATAGTTTGGAATAATACGAAGAGAACTGAGGACACACGTGTCCTGTGGATCTGTATCATGAGCTGGAAGTAGAATAACCACAGCACAGGCCTATTAACACCGTATACAAGAATCCTTTCATAAGCAGATGGGAAACCTGGAAGAGCAGCAGTTTGGGAAAGTCAGATTAATCTGGCTCTGGACAGATTAAAACTAACATTCAGATAACACAGTGAGGTAGGCAGGTGGAAATACAGGCTCAGGAAGAGCCTGGAAACCTAGGCCCAGAAACAACTCCACATGTAGGTCACCCTCAAAGCCACACAGCACACACCTGTTCCTAGTGTTACTGAGGCCCCAGCTTAGAACTACTCATCAAGGTGGAATCAAACACTGTGATTAATAATAATTTTAAACCGACTAAAGGCAATTCAGTGCACTCTTTAATTCTTCTGTTCAGATTTTCTTGATTGTCTATATATCTATGCAGAATTTCAAGCAGTGCATTTGGGAGAAACGACTCTTCAGAGACGGGAACACTGCCAATGCCTGAACAGCCTCTTCTGTTTACAAGGTTTCCCCTGTGTGATCTCGCAGTGCCTCTGCAACAACGATGAGCTCCAAACAGTCAACAGCATCACTCTTATTGAAGAGATGAGGAAACTGAGGCTCAAAAAAGCAGAAAAAGGAGCAGAATCCAGCCCAGGATACAGTCCCTCTGGATCCAAACCCAATAATACTGCATCTTAATCCAGATTAATCGTGATAGTAAGAGGGTCTCAAATCCTAAGGACATTAGGCTCTGTCTGTAAACTGAACATCATTTTTCAAGTGTGTAAGAATGATTCTTTCACAGTTAAAGGTTTTTTTGCAATTAAATATTAATATGTGCTCACTGTAAGTAAATTCTGATTTTATAAAATTGTATGCAATACAAAGTGACATCAGTCCATAATCCCAACTCTCAAGCTATTTGCTAGTGAGAGTATCCGGTATATTACAGGAGAGTACTTTCCTTACCTGTTTTATTAATACACATATAAGAGCTATATAAATGTTTATGTACTTGAATGTATTTCTGTATTTGCAAATGTTTCTATTGGGTCTGTTTTTAGAAGCAAAATGTTGGGTTAAAGTGTATGTTTTTAATTTTAATAGCTATTACCAAGTTGCTTTTTGATTGGCCAGTTTGCTTACTTAAAAAGGAAAACTTTTATAACAGATCAAAACATCATAAGTTAATACAAGTAACAAATGAGAAAATATTTCATATATGAAAATGTCTTACAAATCATAATTTACAACCAAAAAAATAAGCAAAGCTTATAAAATAATTATACATACAAATGATCCAAAATAAAACTTCATAAACCAACATTTAATCCCACTCAGTAAAGAAATACTAATTAACAAAAGTCAAGTATTATTTTCAACCCATCCAATTGACAAAAATATTTTAAAACTAGTATGAACTACAGGAAGAAAGAAATAGCTCTCTCAGACTTTTGGAAAGGAGATAAACAGATTTAATTTCTACAGGGTATGCTGGCTATCTATGAATATTTTAATGTGTATGGATTCTGAGAGCAATCTGTATTTATAAATTAGTTCCAAGTCAGTAACTATAAAAGTATACAATTTATTTACAGAAGTGCTTATTTCAGTACTGCTTATAACTGCAAAAACTCAGAAACGGCCTATCAATCAAATAACTCATGTTGAGGGGCTGGGGCTGTAGCTCAGTGGTAGAGTGCTTGCCTAACACATGTGAGGCACTGGGTTCAATCCTCAGCACCACATAAAAATTAATAAAATAAAGGTATTGTGTCCATCTACAACTAAAAAAAGTTTTTAAAAATAATCCATATTGAAACCATACAATGGAGTATTTTTTAGCCATTAAAAAATGATGCTATGAGGCTTGGGTTGTAGCTCAGAGATTAAGCGCTTGCCTCACATGCATGAGGTACTGGGTTCGATCCTTAGCACCACATAAAAAAAATTAATAAAATAAAGATATTGTGTCCGTCTAAATTAAAAAAAAAATTTAAATTTTGTTTTTAAAAATGATGCTGTGATTTTTAATCTTTTTAGCATGGAAAGATGTTCACGGTATTAAAATATGTATAGAATGATCCACTCATATATGTGTACACAAGTCATAGGAAAAATTCTTTAAGACACATTTAAAAATACTTATAGTTCTATCCACATGAAGGTGTAAGAGGCGAGTTTTCATTACATATTTATGTAATTGTTTTAAATAATGTGCATATTACTTTTTTCATTAAGAAAACATTAAGATCATTTTTATTTAAAGAGACAGAGAACCCTGAAGGAGTGGGAATCAGAGGTCCAGAACTATACATAGTTATACTATGTCTATCTTCTGCCCCCCACCTTCTTTTTTCTTACCTTTTATTGGGGACGGAGGGGTGGGGATCAAACCCAGGGCCTTATGCATGCTAGGCAAGCCATCTAGGTGAATGTTACCCTTAGCCTTTTCCCAGGCTGAAATTTGATATGGTAATAAAGGAAATATTTACTCCAGGGCACTTGTTCCTTGTAGTATCAGACAAAAAAGATTCTTTCTCTAAATCTTTTGAGGAGACTAAAATTGAAGAAGTATATTCAAGTGATTTTCCTCTAATAATATGATGGCTGCCTCATAGGGGTTAGCCTAGGCTGGGGTTATGCCTAGGCTAAACCCTCCTTCAGTTTCACAACTCCAATTTAGGTCTCAGAGCTAGAAATGGGGATTCATTTTTTTATGATCAATGTGTATAATATTATCCTACTGACAATGAAAGTTATCATTCCTGGCTTTAACTGCAGGGAAGAAGTTAGAGCAAACAACACACAAGATTTACATTAACTTACCAGATAGCATATATTACCTAAGCTTCACTCAGCACATTTTAAAAATTGTTTATAAAGCATATCTGAATATTCAATTATAGTTTTAACTCTTAGACTATATATGTTAAAAAATAAAATGACAAATAATTACCTCTCCTATGAAGACTACTATAACACAGTCCAACTTCTCTTCAGGATACAGATTATCAATAAGGGAATGAAGAGTTTCTATGAGGTAAGATTTAACTTCTCTCTTCACTGTGGGAATCCCCATTACTATTGAAACTGAAACAAAACAATACAGTAATTACATAAAAAGACTTCACAAGGACAATAATAGAAAAATACTACCATTTTGAAAATACAATACTTCAAATTCACAGGAATTGAGGGATTCAGTTTCAATTTCAGAAAGAAATTAATCAAAGGATACAAGAACATACCTATAATACTGTATTATCATACGTTCCACATGGCTTAACCATAAAGGGGTGGGGTGGGACAGAGAGAGAGAGAGAAAGAGAGAGAGAGAGAGTGTGTGTGTGTGTGTGTGTGTAATGTCAAAGAACTGGTAAAAATAAGAGTCAACCTCACATTAAAAATGAATGGCTATAAAGTATAAACAGAAAAATTTTATACGACTAAAACTCAGCAACACTAAACATGCCTTAAAAATTAATGTTTTACATATCAACTTCAAGTCCATGATGCACTGAGAAGGGAACAGCACCACTTCTGTGGTTTTCTTGCCAAAAGGAATAACCTCAACCTGACCAAAAAGAAATATCAGACAATTCCAAATTGTGGGGTCAGTCCACAAGATAGGCAGCCAGTCCTCTAAAGCATCAAGGTCATGGAAAACAAAGAACTGTCCCAGATTGGAAAAGACTGAGAAAACATGACTATTTAAGGAAATACAAAATCCTGACTGGACCTTAGAAAAGAAAAACAATGAAAATTACAAAATCTGAATAAGACCCAAAGTTAGCTAATAGTGTGGCATTGGTGTTAATTTCCTGGTTTGATCATGATACCATGGTCATGGTTATGCCGGGGAGATGAGGGATAGGGAAACGCTGGGTGCTACAGGAATCTGTGCAACATTTTTAAGGTCTAAAATTATAGTTGATTCTACTAAACTGCTTGTTTTGATTACAAATTTATTTCTACATGATTAATTTATTAGGGATCAACATGGGCATAGCATGAATTTCACATTTGCTTATATGCAACTTCTCCTGAGACACTCATATAGGTGAATAATAGACAACTGTATGCAGGCTGGGCACCATGGTGCATGCCTGCTGCCTCCAGCAGCTCGGGAGGCTGAGGCAGGAGGATTATAAGTTCAAAGCTAGCCTCAGCAACTTAGCAGGGCCCCAAGCAACTTAGTGAGACCCTGTCTCAAAAAAGGGCTGGGGATTTGGCTTAGTGGTTAAGCAGTCTGGGTTCAATCTCAGTACTTAAAAAAAAAAAAAAAAAACCGTACCCAGGCTAAACCAATTCAGGAAACTAAACTTTGTAAAAGTACCAAAATGCACACACCACAAACCTCTACCAGCTGCCTCAGTTCTTCACATGCTGTCAACCATACCCATCCACACCAGGGGTTCCACGTTCCTTCAGATTTCAGATAACGCAACTTGCACCACCAGTTTGTGGTAACTTGTAAGCTACAACCCCTCTATAGCCTGCAGCAAACTGCAGGTCCCTTTCAGGCAGAGTTCCATATTATATTAGTTATGTATCACTTAATCACTTAACATGTACAAAATTGTGCTGCCATCTTCATTAGGTTTTAACCTTTTTTATGTTTGCCTGGTTTTGAGTGCTGTTTTCCTAATCCCATTCTTCTCTTTCTGTTGCATAGCTTTGCAGGCTGCAGTGATTTGCGGAACACACATTTACTACAGAAGTGACTACATTTCAAAGTAAGTTTTTAAAATTCACATCTTAAAGTCGTAATATTCTGAGTGCTATAAGTCAACAGAGAAGTATTTTGCAGATGTTAAAAATAATCTAGTCTTAATTATGGAACAATTAATTGGAGATGCTACAAAATACTTAGAATTCATAGAATCCTAAAACTAGAAGGAAGCTTAAAGAACATGGGTCAACTAGTCTACAACCATGATTTGCAGGTAAGAATACTAAGTACAAAGGAGTTAAGGGACTGCACCTGTTCTGTGGCACAAATTATCTGAGTGAATGATATAAAAATAAGCTCCCTGCCCTCACAGAACTTACACTGCTGAAGAGGGAAAAGAGATAATAACCTTAGAGGATAATCCATGCTACACAAACTCAAATGTGATAATGTCAGCGTGAGGAATGGAGGGGTGCCTCTACAGACAGTGTGGTCATGAAAGGCCTCTCTGCTTTCAACTGAGCTGGTTAATTAATGATGAGGCAGAACGTTCCAGAAGAGGGACAATAGGGAAGGCACAGTGCTTTTGACATAGTAAAGAAACATCAGGAGCAAAAATATATCTAAAGTAGAATAAGCCTAGATCCAGAGAATTAGTTAAGGGTCAGGTCACATGGAACAAATTCAGTCTTAATTCCTAGAACAAAGAGAAAGCCATTATCAAGTTGTAAGCTGAGCAGTGACATTACCCAACTTGTAATCTTTAGAGATTACCAAATGTTATGAAAAGTAAAAGCATAACTTTAAGAGTATTTTGGGAAGATCAGTTAGGAAGTTACTGCACTAATTAAAGTAAAAAATGGTGGTTTGAATTAGGATGTCTGAAGAGTTGAAAATGAACAGATAGATGAATTTAGGATGCAGTCTGAAGACTTTCACCAGGGGACCAGGAGAGAGAGGAAGAAGTGGGATCCAGGATGACTTCAGTAAGTGGAAAGGGGATCTTTTACCCAGAACAACACATTTGAGGGGAAGAGCGCTCCAAATTAAGATTTCTATCTTGATCATGTTACTTTGAGATGCCAAAACATAGGATGAGTTATCTTGGAAGCAAATTTCCATATACTCAACCTTAGAATCTAAAAAAAATATATTTTAAATATTTAAAATATAGATTAAGAGTGTAACAACTATGATATGAAGTGTTCCTAGGCAATGCCAACTCATAAGTAATTCAAAAACTTTATGGAAAAAGCAAAATACATTGATCCAGAGCACACAATAAAGTAATAATGCAAAATGTCTATTCCCTACTGACTAGGGATGTTTTTGCTTACATTTTGGTTTATTTAAGCTTAAAATGGCATGTTTTTGAGATTAAGCCATTTTCCCCAAATATACTCTGTTTTTGAGCTGAAATTTAAATTCTTTAGTTTTAGGACTCCAAAAAACACTGAAAATGAAAGTACTAATTTTGGTCACACTTACAGAATTAGAGTAAACCATGCTAGTGATAATTCAAAAAGTGACCACAAAAAAAAAAAAGGAAAGAAAGAAAGTAAAGAATAAAGGCAATTTTCCTGGTCTTCTGGGGTGGAATAAAGTTCAGAGTCATCAGTCTGAGCACCGTATCTGTAGTCTGAAACCCTTCAGGATGTCTTTTCTGTTTGGCAGGGTAGCCAGTTATATTCAAGATGGCAACGGCTCTATCAGCCTGGATCCCTGAGTGATCAGTGAGTGCACAAAACCCTATCAACCACACTGGACATATACTGTCAGCAAAAATTTAAATAAACCTTTGCTATGTAAACCACTGAGATTTGGAGGTTGTTGGATACCACAGCATAACCCAGTCTGCTCTTGTTTGACATTACCATCTTCTATCACTTACAATCTAGAAAATGTGTGTATTCTAACGGGTTAGAGTTCAGGGGAAATATGTCAGCAAAGTGAAGAATATAGTCAGATCATCCTTTTAGAGAGAAGAATCAAGGAACCCAAGAGAAAGAGAACCAAAGGGTTGGACTATATTTCCAATTTAAATAATAATTGTGCACATGAAAACTGACCATATACTAGACACTCTGAAATGCAGTCATAAGGTTGGTGAGGCCCCCACTTGTGCTGTTATTATGTAACAGAGACATCAATTGTTATGTCACTTTTCTTCCATTTTCTTGGGAAGTTTTCAAATTCTAGTATTTATTTCCTTTAAAATTGAGAACATTTTCAGAACAATCTTGATTTGGCATTTCCAATCTTCAATTAGTCTATCTTTATTTGAACTAAATTATATTCCTTTTTAAATATTCATTGCTACTTAATATTTTTAGCCCATCATGTTTCCCCTATGGTTTGACTTAAGTCATTTACTCCCCCATTTCTTCCTTTATATTCCATGACAATTTTTTGTCTTCTACTGCTCAGTTGTACTTTCTGTCTTCCCTGGCTTTATCCTCTTCTTTCACTGGAAATTAACTGCTGGAGAACTTTGAAGGTTCAGTCCTGGGCCATAGGTGATCTCATTTATATCCATGTCTCCAATAACCACTTATTCATAAACAAAACTCCTTAAAATTAAACCTAACTCAGACTTCTCCACTGAGTCCGAGATTTAAATGTTCACCTGCCTGCGTGACTTCTCCACTTCATATCCTTTCCCCTTGAAACTCGACATATCCATATTTAATGCATCTCTTACAAACCAACGCTGCAAACCATTTGCTACTGTCTCCTATCTCTGTGAATGCACCCAGCATGCATTGCTCCATCCAGAAACCTAAGGCTTGTCCACAAATCCAGTCCATAACTATGATTTCTCTTAAATGCTGCCATATAGTCCAAACAGCCCTTAACCCCATCTTCTTTCCTTCTCTACAACCACTGGCCACTGCCTAATCTGAGGCCATCCTTCTCCAGTACCCCCAGAACAGCCTCTTACCTGGTCACCCACATCTCCTCTCCTTCCCATACTTTCATTCTTCCCATTGCAGGAAATGGGACCTTGCAAGATTTAAGTCTTAAGACTTTTTGTCATCCTTGTCAAGTTCTACTTAAAACTCTTTAGTTGCTTCACATTGCTCTTAAGATGAAAACCAAACTCCTGTAACGGGTCTGAAAAGCCCTGTGATTTGGGGCCTGAACTCCTATCTCTAGCAGCACATTGTCCTGTGCTTCCCCTCACTCTGCACTAACTACAGTGGCCTTCTTTCATTTTCTAGGATATTCCACGCTCCCTTCCGTCACAGGGAAGTGTTATGGTGCACTTCTCATTTTTTTCCCATTGTGGTAGAATAGATGGCCTCCCAAAGATGTCCATGTCCTAATTCCTGAAACTTGTGAATATGTTACCCTACATGAAAAAGGGACTTTGTACATTTGACTAAATTAAGCATCTTGAAACAGGATTATTCTAGATTACCAAATGTGCTCATGGTAACCAAAGAGGTTGTACTAGAGGAAGGCAGAAGGGTCCGAGGGAGAGGATGCGAGGTGGTATCAAAAGGAGAGATGTGAAGACACTCTGCTTTAAAGATGAAGGAATGCCATCAGCCTGTGCACTCCAGAACAGCACGGGAAGGGATGATAGATCACACAGGGTTTCTGAAGGAACACACCCCCAGACACCTTAAATTTAGGATTTCTACCCTCCAAAACTGTAAGACTATAAATGTGTGTTAAGTCCCTGAGTTTGTGTAGTAGTCCGTTAACAGCAGCAACAGGAAATACCCACCTTTACCTGTTAACTATATATTCTACTAGTCTCAGATCAAATGTATTTTTGAGACTTCCCTAAACCTCTTCATCAGGGGAGATGCCCCTTTTCTACATTCTCAAAGCACCCTTTACATCACTAAAGGGTGATACACTTTAGTTACACTAAAGGGTGTAACTGATTATTTGACCAACACACATATCCTGTACTATGCCAAAGCTCCACAAAAACAAGAACCATGCTGAATTCTATAAACCAGAGTGCCTGGCACATGGAGGTGCTCATGGACTTTAACTTCAGCCAATACTTAAAGGAATTACCTGTGGTCCTCTCCTGACCAGGAGCACCATTTGGTAGATAACCTAACAAGAGTCTTTTGTCATCATCCTGCTCTTCACTGAATAGGCCCTTATTATGAAGACCTGGGTGCTTCTTCAACTCAAAAATTTTTTCTTCTGTACTTATTTGACTTTCTAAAAGAACCAAACAGCTCAGTCTTCCTGATCACTAATTTTATCTTCAGATATATCTACTCTTCATCAACCTCCTGATGGAAATTTTAAATCACTGAAATGAAAAACACAAAGATTTCTGTTTCTTTTATAATAGTTATTATTCTATGGGTAAGTTTTATATTCACATCCCTCTAAAAGCACACTGATTGTGTTTTGTTTTTAAGTCATATTCCATTCTATAAACTAAATTTTTTTTAGTATTAAATCACTCATGGTGCTGATCTTAGATTTTGGAGGACTCCCAGTTGAAGATGATGCCCTTCTACCCATTTGTAGTTTCCACACCTGGTTTTTGTGTCCTGCTTTTACAAATCTTTGTGGGAAGATGTAAGTGTGGTGCTAGGTGGGTGAGTAGTTATTTGTCCTGGACACGAGAATCCCTGACCCTCTCCTAGGGGTCAATAGCAACCCAAAGCACTGCCCTCCCCCTGCAGCCAGGGGAAGGCTTTGCTGCTAAGGGAAGTTTGTCAGCCTAACCACTGAAGAACAGAATTTTTAGTGAGCACTAGTTTTAATTTGATCTCAAAAACTGAAGTTTTTAATATAAGTCCCTAGATATGAAACCCTAGAACCTAAAAATCTCAAAAATTACATACAAAATTGTTTTTTCACTATGCATTTTTCTAAGCAGAGGCTGATAGCTTTCCTGGAACCTCTAAAAGACTGGTGTGAACATACTTTATATACAGACAGAGATAATGAAAAATTGTGCTCTATATGTGTAATAAGAATTGTAATTCATGCCGCTGTCATGTATTTTAAAAAATAAAATCAATTAAAAAAAAAAAAAAAGAACCACTGCCTAAGAATTTAGGAAGGAAATTCCTTTCACGTAAATCTGGGCACATTCCCACCCCCGATTCCAAGCTGTATGCTTTTTCTTTCAAAATTAGTGTCAGCTTTATAAGAATGTTAACTGCTGAACCAGCCATGATGGTGCACACCTGTAAATCCCAGCAACTCAGGAGGCTGAGGCAGGAGGATCAACAAGTTTTAGGCCAGTCTCAGTAATTTAGCTAGACCCTATCTCAAGAATTTTTTTTTTTTTTTTGGTACCAGGGATTGAACCCAGGGTGTTTAAGTACTGAGCCAAGTCCCCAGTCCTGTCTCACTAAGTTGCTGAGGCTGGCTTTGAACTTAACCATCCTCCTGCCTCAGCCTCCCAAGCCACTAGCATGGGCCACTACAATCAGCTCAAGATAAAAATTTTAAAAAGGACTGGACATGCAGTTCAGTGGTTGAGCACCCTGGGTTCAATCTCCAATACCAAAAAAAAAAAAAGAATACTAGCTGTTGGAAAGCTGGCTGACAAGATTTTATTGTATTTAAGATGGTAAAGAAATAAAAATGTATAAACAAATAAAATGGAATAAGTACCTCCAAAAAGGAAGTGAACGTCACATTCATAAAGGACAGGCTACTACAAAAGAACCTGTCAGAAACTTTGGAAAAGTTAAATGACTTTAAAAACACTGCTATTTTCATTTTCATTTATCTTACTAATAAAATATACAGTCTAAACCAATGAACCCACAATTTTGGCTAAGGCATCTTGTCCAAATAGAAACTGTTGAAGGGAGAGATACAGTAAGTACCAGCTTCAAAAAATAATGAACAATCAATATTCTAAAAAATTAATTTAGAGTACCCTACATGTCTTGTTCATATTTATATATCTGGCACCTGCAGAATTCCTGGCCTCAATAAATATTTCTTGAATTAATAAAGAAATGAAAAAGTGAGTGAGTCTGAACATGGTATTTTAAGAGTTTACACCTCCTCAGGAAGATGACGTGTTATTTTAAACAATTAATAAAACAGAAAGATATAAAATTAAATCAAGATGAATATAAATGCTTATGGTAACAGACTAAACAATATGAGAAAAAAATGTGACCAAAAAAGAAAAGATAGGAAAATACTTAAGATTCTTACTATATCAAGAGTGGACTAAATCAGTTTTTCAAAAAACATTCACACAAAAATGAATGTCAATATTCATAAAGTAATCATCTTGTCACTTAAGATTTGTAAGGGAGCAAAATCTGCACTCCAAAATCTACAAAGAGCTGGGTGTAGAGGACACACCTTAGTCCCAGCTTCCTGGGAGGCCAAGGCAGGAGGATGGCAGGAGGCCAAGGCAGGAGGATGGCAGGAGGCCAAGGCAGGAGGATGGCAGGAGCCCAAGAGTTCAAGATCAGCTTCGCAACACAGTGGGACCCCATCTCTTTAAAAAATAAATTAAAACTACGAAGAAAAGGTTAACAATGTCAAAAAGGAGGAATAAAAGTAGGAAAGCAGTAAGTAGTCCAAACAGCTCTGGTTGCCCTGCCAAGTAAGAAAAAAATCACAAATTATGTTTTGAGTACATTATAAAAAGAAGCAACTGAAGTATTTCTATTATTCCATGGAAAGTTTATATAAAAGGGACTGGCCCCTGACATCTTGGTAAGAAAAAGTAGGACACACATAAGAACCACCTTCCTGGCAGCACTATGAGAGCAATTAATGTTGAAATAAGACAAGAGGAAAAGTCATCTCTCTACCTCCCAAGTTTTTAAAACAGAAAAATTACAAAGGTTTAAACATTTGTCTGCCTGAACTAGATTTCTCTTGATCTTTTTCTGCAATATTATTCTCATCTACAAAGAAAAGGGTCCAACTTCTTTCAACATGGCGTCTGGCCAGTGTAAGCCCCAAGTGCACAGATAAAGAAAGAATTTTTTTCTTTGACCTGCCAGACTGCTCATGGTCAACATAACATGCCAAGTCACAATTCAGACCAGCGGGACAACCAGACTAAGAAGTAAGAAAATAAACATACCTCCTGTTCTTCCATTGCCAATCTGCACAGCAGGCTGAAGGCTTCCTTCGTTTTGCAATAAATGAGGCAAATGATAATAAATAGTTGGCACTTGAAGGGATTTTTTGCTTGTTAACTCCTTTAGCAGCTTTAGGGTATTACCTGAAACACAGAAGTATTATTAATTCACAGAACATCTTACCTTATAGAAGTTGCTGATTTTATAAAAACAGCAGTAAAAATTTATAAGAATTAGAACTAAAAAGGTTTTTCCTAATTTCATAGCTTGGTGGATGGATGAGTCTCCATTCAAAATGAAAAGGACACTTTCCCAACAAGAGTCAGGATATGGATGAATAGGTGGATGAAGCCAAGGCACAGGACCAGGACAGGTGGGATGCCGATTACCCACCTCTGCACTCAGTCAGACTCACTGAACAGACTCAGTGTGCCATAGACTTAGGAAAATGTAACAATGCCAAGTACCCTGACCACTGATAGATGACTTCCACCTTTGTTACACATTAACACTTTATCAAATTTTTATGTATTTTTTCTGAAAATAAAATCTTATTTCCATTATGCAAGACTTTCAAATTTTCATTAAAGTATAGTGTTAACCTTTAAACAAGGAAGTTGGCAGGAAGGACTTGTAGCCTCAACTCCATTTAAAAAAATAAGACAAAACCAAAAACTCACAGAAGAAATGCCAATACAAATATGTGAAATTCAAGTTTAGTCTTATGGGTAAAGAAACAATTACAAACTACAATATGTCATCTCTACCTATTAAATCAGTGGATTAAACAATAATATTAAAACAGCATCAAAATCCCAGAAACATTCTGTCCTGTTATTCAGTAATTTCCCTTTAAAGAATTTAGCTTTTAGTGTACAACCAGAGAAAAATTGTGTTCTATATGTGTAATATGAATTGTAATGCATTCTGCTGTCATATATAATAAATTAAAATTTAAAAAATAATTTAGCTTTTATGTACTCAACAAATATTCAGTGGTTTTTTTAGGCAGGATATTTTAATATTTATTTTTTAGTTGTAGTTGGACACAATACCTTTATTTCACTTATTTACTTTTATGTGATGCTGAGGATTGAACCCAGGGTCTCGAACGTGCGAGGCGAGCATCCTACCGCTGAGCCACATCCCCAGCCCTATTCAGTTGTTTTCTATCCAATTCCAGGAATGGTGCTAATGTATTTGAAAATCAACAGTCATCAAAGCATAGATCCTGTTTTTTAGAAAGTCATAATCTAATAAAAATAACTTAAGGGCTACCAGAAATGTGATCAATTGATAGACAAAGATGTTCATCACAGAGTTATAAGCTAGGGGAAAACACCCAGGAAAAAAACATTTAATTAATTGTAGGAAAATGTTTATTATGGTATTTGATCAGCTAAAAATATATAGTATTTGATCATACTGAAAATAGCATTTTGAAGCATATTTCATGTTAGTAAAAATGCTCACAATGTACTCTCAAGAATAATAATTCAGAAGAAAAATATGCATAAAAAGATAAAGAAAATAAAAAGTTTATTTTTCATCTATACCATTCAATAATGTTAAGCATTACCGTGACTGACAAATTCATCATAAGGAGGGGAAGCAAGGAACATAAAATTTTTAAAAATAAGTTAAGGTGATAGATCTAAAGATGAAAGGAACTCACAGTTCTTTTTAGAATAGTAGAAGCTCAATGAGAAAGTATGTTAGTCTACACAAATCTGGAGCCAACTGGTTATAAACACACATCAGTCTAATCATCAGAACAAAAGCAGGACACAGCAAAGACAACTGTGCTCATCTCCCCTGCCTCATGTCCTCAGAGAAGAACGGTCAGCTACTCCCAAAAGTGTCTGTTACAAAAGCATGTATCTCCCTTGCTATAATTCAGATTTAAGACCACTAACTGCTCCAAATAGCTCAAAGATTCCTCCAGAAACCAGGCTAAACATTAGTCACAACGTATACTTGTAAAAACAAAAAGTTAAATTTGAATGTTTTCAAAGATGCAATATGTTCAATGAAGTTTATACAACTGATATTGAACTTAACAGTACTTTCTTAAAATCAAACTTAGCAATTAATACAAATTATTTTATCAGAATAAGAATGTTTTGGGTGCTGATTTCTCTCTCTGAAAGGGTGATGAATGCTGGTGGATAGACGGCCCTCCTCAACTTCTGAAACATACCTACAGAACATCTGAGAATACAATCTTTTTATAATATGAAAAAAATATATATATGTACCTGAAAATTTATTCAACGCATCCTTACTTCCATTTGTTTCGACCCCTACACTCCGGAACTGCTGGACAATGTTATTCAATTCAGAGGAGCGCTGGGAAATTCGATGTTCAGCTATTCGAAGACGTTCTTTTAAAGCAAGAAATTCTCGTTGATAAGCAATTAGTTTTTCTAGAGGCAAAAGCAAAAAAAATTAAAAAGTCATCAGTATACTTCTAAACAAAAAATTCCAAACAGAATTGTAATAACAAAACTTCAATTAAAGTCAAGTTTGGGGGAAGAAAATATTTACTCGCTGATACAGAACTGAAAATTAAAGAACTAAAGAAAATTAAAGAATTAAAGAACCCTGGCTTGCTAGCTAACATGGGAACTAATTTTGTGCTTTTATTATTTGTAACATTGTGAACACTCCCTACTTAAAATTCAGAAATTTAAAGATGGAGAAAGATAAAAGTCATTAAAATTAACACTCCAAGTATAATACACCTTCTCAAAGGTACAAACAACTATAACGACCACATTTGTATCAACCAGATAGAGATGAGTTAAATAGGTAATACCTATGAGACAATGGAGATAGCGCATTTATAGCATAATCATTATTTTCCATACTTCCTATCCTGCCAAGATTTCCCTAGGCCAGACTTTGGTCAAATTCCGCATTCCTAAAAACCTCAATGAGCTACATGTACAATGAACCCAGTTTAAAGTCATTCATTTTAATAATTTGCGAGAATCAGAGATCAAAAAATATAGCTGGTCGGGGCTGGGGCTGGGGCTCAGTGGTAGAGCGCTTGCCTAGCATGTGCAAGGCACATAAAAATAAATAAATAAAGGTATAAAAAAAACCACAGCAACCTTTAAAAAAAAATAAATTTAATTGTCTGGGAAATAAAGTGTGTGTAAGGAGGATAAACAGTGAGCATGAACAGGAGAACCCAGGGACAAAGCACACAGCAGGGAGAGGTGAGGACAGGACTGGACACATGAGCCAACAGGATGGTGGAAAGGACCACCGTTCCCATCACCAGTGGCACGCACAGTGTTTAAGGTGTGGGCATGGTAGCTCTACCCCTTCCTCAAATCAGGAGCAATCAGAACAAAGGTTTTCAACTTCTCTATCAGCTAGACAGACCAAAGTCACTACTGTGACACCAAAACATGTCTTAGAAAGGCTGTTTTCTATTTAACATTATAATCTTTGCCTTATCCACAGATAAACTCAGGAAGAAACAGACTTACTGAATCCTAGTTTGTAAACTGGTCTTAGAAGCTGTCCCATATGCTATTCCTTTCTGGCATGAGCAGCATTAGACGTTTCCCCATGGGACTTAACCAGTACCTAGATACTGGCCTCTAACACCACTTGCCAATATAAAGAAGTAGAATTCTTTGAAGAAGTAACTTTAATTAAGATAAACCTAGAATATTCTTACATCAGCAGGAAGGAAAGTAACAAAAGAAAAAATGACAGGACACATCAAAAGGGCACAAGAGGGCTGGGATTGTGGTTCAGAGGTACAGCCCTCACCTAGCATGCGTGAGGCACTGGGTTTGATCCTCAGCACCACATAAAGTAAAATAAAGACATTGTGTCCACCTATAACTGAAAAATAAACATTAAAAAAAAAAGGGCACAGGAGATGCAGGGTGCCGTGGCTCACACCTGTAATCCCAGCAGCTTGGGAGGCTGAGGCAGAAGGATCATGAGTTCAAAGCCAGCCTCAGCAAAAGCAAGGCGCTAAGCAACTCAGTGAGACCCTATTTCTAAATAAAATACAAAATAGGGCTGGGGACGTGGCTTAGTAGTTGAGTGCCCTTGAGTTCAAACCTCTGTACCAAGAAGAGAGAAAAAAGGCGGGGCACAGGAGGTGACTTGAGAGGCCCCCACTGGCCAGACAGGGGACAGTGATGGTGGTAATAGATTGTAACCTACTAAGTAAGAATCCCTGAGTCTATACCAGCGTTGAAGAAATAAAGATCAACAGATGAGGGGAAAGTGTTTCTGAATGTATGAAAGCAACTAATACGTGTAGAAGGAACAGCGATCAGTGGAAAATCTCCATTTTGCAACCACAACAACTGACACAGGCCAGATTGAAAAGGGGATGAATAACCAGCAGGTGAGTCTCATGAGGAAACAATATGTAGATCATCTCAAGTATGCTTTGCAAAGCACTCACTATTTTATAAAAGGAAAAACTTTTTTTTTTTTTAAACAATAGGGAAATCTGGAAGATGTCATCTTAATGGAGTGATCAAAACTCACTACAGCAATAGCAGGACAGAGGTCAGATGACCCCTGAAGTGATGCACAGGGAACCCAGCTCATTATGTGGCAGTCCTGCCAAAAATGCACAATCTGAATCTAATCTCCAAGATACTACAGACACAGCAAAGTGTGACGTAGCAAAAACATCGCCTGCACTTGAAACACTGTCATCATCATCAAAGATAAAGGTTAAGAAACTGCCCAAGAGAACACAGACAATGAAATGCACAGCACAGTCCTGGACTGGATCCTGGACCAGGAAAAATATGTATGAAGAGACTGTCGGGAAAACACAGGCACACACTATAGACCAGAGAAATCAAAATACTTGTGGACATCAAATTTCCTGAATTTGACAGGTACTGGTAATGTAAGAGAATGTCCTTGTTCTTAACACTAAAGTAATAGCAATAAACACCGGCGTGTTTAGGGGTGAAAAGAAACATGATTTCAGCAATTCACTTTCAAAGAATTCTGGAAAAAAAATCTCTTTACAGAGAGAAAAGTAACAGAGACAACAGGTGAAACATACAGAGAAGTTATTTGTACTATCCTTAAACTTGTCATTCCTTCTTCTATTTTAATGAAGTTTTCAAAGCAAGCAGAAGAACTGGGTGTCAGAATGATTAGGTCTTTGAGCAGCTCTGGGGTGACAGGGAGGGATGCAGGTCTGAGGACAATCTCTATCTGGACACATTTTCTTGATATTTTGAAATCAGCCTCAGAGAGAGGCCAGTTTCACCAAGTGGGAAGAAAAACCAATTTGCAGAGAAAGATCTCTACCCTAATTCCAAAAACTCCCCTGCGTGGAGCAGAACTGGACCCTCTTTGGGTAGATTATTTGAGAGAAGATACCTTGGGCCCATGAACCCAAGCGATCCATGGACCGTGGGACCAGGCCATGAGCTTGCTGGTCCAGATGCTGTTCTTAGCTCAAAGTCTACAGCTATGAGAAAACTCCATTTTTTGTTTCTACTCCATTCTTCTATATTCAGAGAGTATTCCACAAAATCAGGGCATGTTCATACTCCATCTAGTGAGCCAACTCAGCTTTCTAGAAATTTCTAGACATTTCTTAGAATTTTCTCCACTCATCTTTCCCATAATACTACACAGTTCTTGAGTTTAGTTCAAATTTTAATAGACAAAAATCGCTCCAAATTAATATGTTTGACAAGTCCCTATTTTCAACATTAAATATAGATTCCTATATTTGCTTTTCTTTGAATAATCTCAATTGGTTTATGTAGGGGGACATGGCAAGAAACTAAGAGACTCTTGCTAACCTCTTACTGGGTTCTGCTTATTGTTTCTTCTTTAGTATAAATGCAATGTTTTGTTTTGCTTGCAGGACTGCAGAATTGAATCCAGTGGTGCTCTACCACTGAGCCCTACCCAACCCTTTTCATTTGTATCTGGAGACAGGGCCTCACTAAGTTGCCCTCAGTCCTGAGATCCTCCTGCCTCAGCCTCCTGAGTAGTTGGCCTTATAGATGTGTGCCATCACGCCTGGCTTGGAATGCTTTTAATAGTAGAAAATTTAAATCAGATGACCAAAGTAAAAATCATGTTTTGTGAACCTAAGGTTTTAAAACATACAAACATTCCAAAATAGGGGCAAACATGCAATTTTATATGGTTCAACAGTTTAATTAATAGCCTTAGACTCAATTTTAAAAACTGGTCAACGGTACAGATGAATAATTAACAAACACTATTAACAAGTACTTTTTCAAGCAGTACCTTAGCAGCAAGATACAGGAACACTACTGGAGTCTATGCACCATCATAAAAATTACCAAAAATTAAATCCACTTTTAATTCTTAAAATTTTAGGGTTTATTAAACAATAAAATTCTTATACTGCAAAGAATGTTGATAAGTCATCTGGTTCATCCCTCTGTCCCTTTAATATTGCACAGAACTCCTTCACACAGAGAAAGTTTTTTTAAAAAATAGGATTGAGAAACTCCTTCAGTAATAAGATCCCAAAATTTAACAAGCTCTACTTTTCAGAAAGAAACTGCCTTTGGAAAACATTTTATTTCACTCTTTAAAAAATTTTCATATTCATCATTCTTATACAACCAATTTAAAATAGAAAAGAGAGCCTGGATGAAATGGTGGGCAATTTCCTACTTGGAAACCTCTAAAACAAAGAAAAAATAATAATAATAAAAGAAACAGATTCAGGAGGTGTTAAGGAGGACTAAAGCCTGGAAAGGCCAGAGAGAGAGAACGCAGGTCCGAATGAAATGGGCCAAAAGAACAGAACTTGGAACTGGCGATGCTAACAGAATGGAACTGGAACCAAATTTTGGCTCTTTGAATTTTTTATTTGTTCTACTTAGTTGTACAGGAGAGCAGAATGCATTTCAATTCATCGTACACAAATGGAGTGCAATATAACAACCACAGAGCAATGCCTCACATGCCTCTCACATGCAAGCCACCTGGACGGGCTGGATGAGGCACTGAATTCTGGAATCTACCTCCAGGAAACCAGTTGAGGAGGTGAGAGGTGGGGCCTGAGAGTGTCAAATTGGCTCCTGGTGATGCTGATGTGCCCAAGCACACCCCCCTCCCCACCCCGCTGGGAAGCTCAGAGGTGCCAATACTATCCTGGAGTCACTCTGAAGTGGCCTAGAAATTCACGCTTGCCCTCTCCCAGCTCCTCCGTTTTATCCTTCCCTCTGGCCCACGTGTTAAGAGATCCCAGAGGCAGGGTGAGGGAGTAGGCATTAAAACCACTAGGACCATAATTTACAAGATTATATTTGGGGAAGAAATGGTCTCAAAGCATCGGTGGACACACATTTCAAAGGTCTCTCTAAGAGTTATGTGGACTTGTCAACGTCATGCCCTATTTCTAAGAGTATACCAGGCAGGATACACC